GAGCCAATGCACAGTGTATTTTGGATGGAAAATTCATTTGTGTGTTGTGATGGTGTAAAGTGAATTAATAAAAAAATAAATAAATAAATTAAAAAAAAAAAAAGGTCTGCAACTGCCAGTGCTGGACACCCAAAAGGGTCCTGCCATGGCTATTGTTGTGCCATTCTTGCTCCTCTGCCTCTTCTTGGTTCCCCTCCTGCTTTCCTCCTTCCCAGTTTCTTTTGTTGTCCTTTTCTTTTTTTAAATATTTATTTATTTTATTCATTCATTCATTTTAATTTAACCAGAGAGAGACACAGAGAGAGTGAGAGAGGGAAAGGAAGAAAGCAAGCTGCCAGGTCTGGGACTCAAACCGTGGTCAGCCATGTGGGAGTCCAGCACCTTAACCACCATGCCACCTGCTGGTCCCCCTTTGTTCTCCTTTTTTCTTTCTTCTTCCCTCTCTTACCCTGCCACTACTCCTGCCGCTTCTGCTTCCTTCTTCTTCCTCTTCTTCTTTCCTCCTCTCTTGCCACTCCTCCTTATCTTTTTTTCCCCTCTTCTTTTCTTCTCCCCTATCCCTTGACATCCCCTTTAAGTCTGCATCTCTCTAGCTGGCTTCTGTTACCTGACTACCCTTTTGCTTTTTTCTTTTGCCAAAGGGCACATAGGCCCACCAGAGAGAGACAGAGTTGAGGGGTTGTGATAAAGTATCTCCCATGGAGAGGGGTGGCTTGGCAATCCCTTCTCCATCCTTTTGCAACATTGGACAGCCTCTAACACGTGCACATGTTTTAAAGCTGCTTGGGGATTTGAACCAAGGGGCTGGCCAGATGGGATCCTGCTGCTTTAACCACTAGGTCCCAGGCTGGCCTCCTACCTACTGTTTTCTGTCTCAAAAGTTTGAACCTAGGGGCCAGCAGTTAGCGTAATGGCTATGTCTCTGGACTCCCATGTGGTCGACCGTGGTTCACGTCCCAGACCCGGTGGCTTAGATTCATGCTGGGCGCGTGTGCGTGCATGCCCAAAATCCCGAGAGGAGAATGGAGGAGAAGGGATTGTGGCGCAGCCATCCCCCCCCCCCCGGGGGGGTGATTTCTTGCTTTCTATCTCTCTGTCTCTCTCTGTCTTTCTGGTGAGCGCACACGCCCTATAGTCTAAAACCTCTCCCCCGCCCTCCCCCCCAAAAAAAAAGAAAAAGAAAAAAGTTCGAACCTAGGGCCAGCAGGTGGTGTGGTGGTTGAGGTAGTGGACTCCCCCATGGCCAACCATGGTTCGAGTGCCAGACCTGGTGGCTTGCTTTCTCACTTTCTCTCAAGCATGCATACTCTATAGCAAATTAAAAAAAATAATAGTAGGGTTGGCAGGTGGCGTGGTGATTAAGATGCTGGACTCCCATGTGGTTGACCACAGTTCATATCCTGGACATGTTGGCTTGCTTTCTCACTCCACCCCCCCGCCCCATTTCTCTCTGATCAAATTAAAAAAAAAATAATAAGATAAAATAATAATACTTATTTTTTTCTTTTTTTGGAGAGGTTTTTGCTATAGGACACATGCACTTGCCAGAAAGACAGAGAGACAGAAAGACAGAAAGTGAGAAATCACCCCCCCCAGGGGAAATGGCCACACTGCAATCCCTTCTCCTCCATTCTCCT